GAAACTGCAAAAAGCCTACACCACAAGATGGAGCCTTTGACAACAATTACACCATTTTTGGATATAGAAGAGCTATGCCCTTGGAAAAATATCAGAATCACCTGAAACATATATTTTATCTGAAGGGAATACATTATTAGATTTAATATGACCGCCGTTTTTTATGTAATGTATTAATAAAATTTATTACACTACAATTTATGGAATATTTTTTTTAAAAAAAATGAATTTGGTTGAAGTTATGAGAATCGCGAATATTATTATATCATAACTTAGAAAAAAAGATAATATCGACTAGGAATTTCTCGAGAGTGTTATTGGGGAGAGCGAAATTATATAATTTTAAGATTCATATGCCTCGACTTTCACCCAAACAAATCGTTCCAATATTAACGTGGACTTAATTGAGAATTATTGTAAAATTTTCTTTTTTATTTCACTCTTGGATTTTATTTTGACTCAAATCAATGAACGATTTCTGATTTATCAAACTATCCAATTTACAAATACTATATCTTATAACTCCCTCTAATCAGAGGATATATCAAATTTTGTTATTGAAAAATTAAATATTTTGCTAAATTTTCATTGGATAAGTGTATCTGAAGGCCAATTAATTTTAGAATTTAGATGGTATAAATGAAAGATTCATTTATGTAAAAAATCCTCCAAGAAATACAGTGGAAGTATTGCATACTTTAAAATATATTATATAAGTTTTCCAAATTATTAAAATTATTGTATATTTTGGCAATGATACCAATTAGCACAACAAATGAGATAACATTTTCTTCATTACTATCAAAATTAAGACATCTTAAAATTGATTTAGACGAGCTTTACTCATCGGAATCTTATCCCCAACACAGAACAATTATTAAAAATTAACTCAATCGCAAAGAAGATTAAATTTTCATTTATGGATAATATTTTGACTAATTTTTTGAATCATTATAAAATGTTTATATTTTATTGTGATTTAAATACCTGTTTATATAGCTATAATAATTTTTTAACCGTATTATCAAATACTCTTAATATTTTAAATATCATATTTTCAAATGTGATTGGTTCTAATAAATTTTTTATAATGATTATTTCTAGTAAATTTTTAATGCTCCAAAAAAATCATTTCAATATAAAAATAATTACCCACCTCCCCCCCCCCCCCGTAAAAAATTCCTGGCCACGCGCTTGACATGTGCGTATTAATGTTTAGCACCAGCCTATATGGGCTGAGCGATATTTAGTAGTAAATAATTTATTATGTAGTTAAAGAAATTATATCTCGACCAAGCGCTAGATAGACTTAAATCTTGGACAATGCTATAAATGATGAAAAAATACTTAAAGTTCTATCGATGTAAAAAGAGATGAGATAACATTAAATTTTATATTTCTACAATCCAATAAAAGTTATAAATACTTAAAATAGATCAAATAGAATATTTTTATTATTGAAATGTATATTCACATCTATGTGTATTATTATATTTAGCAAAAGTACAATTAATTTGAAAATTATACAATTTGTAATATAAAAATCTTATAATTTTTATTTAATATACTATGAAAATAAAATCAATTCATATTAATATAATGATAATGAAGGTTATTTACAATATAAGATAATTTATGTGATAAAAATGTTTATTTATAAATTCATAATTTAAAATAATGAATGACTTAGGAGAAAAAAACCCATAGGAATACACCTATTAAAACCAAAATCAACGCATTTAAGGCTACAAAATTTTTCCAAAAAGGTTCTTCATACAGGTAATTGGTTCGAGATTTTATACTCAATTTTCTAGCCTTTATCTTATTTTTCCTGAGCTCTTTTTCGGATTGTATACCGCAACAATATCTCACTATAAGATATTCTCTCCACCAGGGAACTAAACAAAATCAATATGCGAATAAGTCATATTATTCAATAAATTGAAATTCATTTTCACATCATATTTTGTTAGTTGATCACACATTTAATAAGAGTTTTAGGGCATTACTAAACCATGCAAAATGACATAAAAAGCATATAAATAACACAAAAATTCTATACTGCACAAAAAGTTTATGCAAATTTATTTTATCAAGTCACGCAAAATGAGAAGAAAAGACGCAAAATATGCAAAAAGCACGTAAAATGAAGAAAAAAGCATATATAAATCTAAGCCACATAAAGAGTGCCAAAAATACTATTACTAAACCAGGCAATATGAGAGAAGAGTGTGCAAAATCACAGAAAAGCACGAAAAATATCCCAAAAAAAATAAAATGAGGCAAACTACAAAAAAAATAATAAAATATTATTATTATTAATAAACTATGCAAAATCGCATAATGCAGGCAAATTGATGCAATACAATAAAAAAAATTTGTGGATGATTTAAATAAATTTTTGTATAATTTCAGTAATAATGCTTATACAAATTTGATAATTTTCATGTTCGCCATTTTAAAACTTTTTATTTTTGTTTGGTAAAAAAATGGATATTATAAATTTAATTTCGTCATTACCATAACATTCTGTAAATGGCGTTATCATGAATGCATTTTCAACTATCGCGAAAACATTACGAAGAACGTATTTAGAAAACATTCATGAATGCATTACCACTAGAGGTCTACAAATGGCAAAATTTCAGTCCCGGCTCAGTTGGAATCTAGCTTTTGCTCAGCCCGGCCAAATTTGTACCCGGTCTGGCCCGTTTCCAATTTTTTACTAAGGTTACATGGCCAAGTTTTTTACATATAAGGCCTAACCCGAAATAAATGTAGTTGAACACCAAAATAAACCTATTTATAATATAGAAGAGTGATTACCAAAATTATATTTTTATTATAAAGAAAATTCAAAAACTATAATTTTGTTATCTTTCGGGAGTGCTGTTCCATATTTTTTTTCCACCGGGCCTGTTTTCTCCAAAAAAAATTTTCCAAAGTGTTGCATGTGGTAAAATCTAATTTGTTTAAAACTTTAATTTATGTTATTAATAATTTTTTGTTATATTGCAGCAAATTGCAATCCTATGTATTTTTTATACATTTTAAGTCATAATTTTATCGATTGGAATATGAACTTGTTATTCCTTTGTTTAGCATTTTGCTTAGTAAAATTGGATTGGGATCCAATTAATTTAAATAAAGATCATATTGAAATTGTCAAAATATGTTTCAAAAGTTTCTTCGATTATTAATTATATCAAAAATATACATTTTATACCATTTTATGTTCAGTCCGTTATTTTGACTTTATCAACTCTTATCTCATAAAACTTTAGACAAACCCAAATAAAATCTTTGTTTGGCCAAAAAAATTTATAATTATATTTTGATATTATATATGAGATTTTTCGGTGATTATTGCATAGAAGGAATGTATTTGCTTCAAACGCATTACCTGGAATCGAATATCGCGAAAGAACTTATACAGAACTTTGAAAATAAATATACATATCTAGTTGTTAAAGCTATGTAAAGCAACCGAGGTTATATGAAAGGTGGGGTAAAAAGATAAACGCGTCTATATTAGAGCTGTAAATCTCAAATTTGATCAAAATTGTATTTTTCTACCTATTTTCTACCGTATATTTATTTAGATGTGATGGCTCGGTATTCTAAAAATATTCAACAATCAAAAAATGTACTTTCTAGTAATTTTTTAAATAATATCAATATCCAACCTACAGGGTAGCCAGACGAATCGTTATAGGTATTTAAATTTATTCAGGGAAAATAAAACCGGGTTAAAATTTAAAAAAATGGATAAAAATAAAAGATTGACAAATGTGTTATGTACCATCTGCGTTATAATGGTAGTTTTAAAAAAATCTAAAAATGGAAGTATACAACCGGAATGAGTTTATTTAGTTGGGCCAATAATCACCCATTTATGTATGTCCTTACTCCTAAGACTAAATAATTTTTATTTAAGAAAATCTCATTATAGATCTGTCGATCTAGTTTCCCGAGCAATCACTCTTCTACATTCTTTTTTAAATTGCTCATCTAGCTAAATTTTTTATAGACTTTCTTTAGACACTTCTTTTAGTTACTTTAATTTTTTTAGCATTTATAATTGTTATGATTTTTTCCATAAAGATAAAATAATCCTTTTCCCCTCAATGGTCTGGCATTTATCACATAGTTGTTGTTAAATAATAAATATTTCGACTTTTATTAAATATTAAATGGCGCTCATCTCATACTCGATTTTTTTTTATTTTGCAGTCATGATGAGGTTAACCAATGATAATAAAATTATTTGAAGTCCATAAATTGAAATAAAAATATCGCAAAAATGCTAAATAACTGCTTTATAATCACAACACAATTTCCTCTATACAAAAGTGGGTAAATAGCAGCTATTAAAACGAATAATATCTCACTATTTTAAGAATACAAGTCTTTATTAAAATTTTAACTTTATCATCAGAATCAATTAAGGAATTTATTGTTTTTCTCAATTGCTAAGTCACTATTATCTTGAGATAACAATAAGTTTTCAGCTTCATCATCAGATGTTACAAAATGAATTGAGCTTTGAGTTTGTAACCATTCATTTCTACAACTTATCCCTTACTTAATACACTGGGCGATATCTTCGATTAAGCGATAATTTTTTTAATATCGGGATCAAAATAAAGCACAGAACATTTTTATTTTACGCCATAACACAATATGTCAATGATGTAAAAATGAAGTAATTATTTGTTTTTTTCTTCTGGAATACATTTTAATCAGGCAACATAAAAAAATTTTGGGGAAACGTTTGTAATATGATTTATAATATTCATTTTTTGCCAAAAAAATAAAAAAGTTTAACATGATGAGTATGAAAATTGTCATCCTTTTGAATTGCATTATCACGAAAATTAAACGAAATTATATTTAAAATCCATTTTTTAACGATTTTCCCAATTAATAAACACTTAAAATAACAAATATATATGATAATTGTCACATTTGTGAATTGCATTATCACTAAAATTATTCCAAGATTTATTTAAAACGATTTTGAACTATTTACCAAAAAAATTATTAATAGTTTTAAAATTCACTATTTTATTATATCTATTTGCGTCATTTTGTGTGCTTTACTGTGATTTTGCATCATTTTGCCTGTTTTTTGCATACTTTGGGTGCATTTGCAAATTTACCTTTTGCGCCATTTTGTGATATTGCGTCATTTTGCTGTGCTTTTTGTATATTATGCGTGCTCTTTGATAGTTTTACTTGGTTTAGTAATTTTTTGCATCGTTTTTACTTTCCCTCTTATTTAATATTCATTTATCAAAATAATTTGAAAAAAATTAAGGAATTTGAATTATTTGCCATATTATTATATTATACCATGATCATCATCATTGTTTGTATTTAAGTTTTCGAGTTCTAGATCAAATAACTCATCTTCTTTTTTCCAATCGTTAACAGGAATATTTTCTAAAAGGGGCTCTCTGCTATATCTCGTCCAAAACGTTAATCGGTTCAGCTTAAACAATTTAAATATAATATTACAATGATTATATTATATTATATAGAGAATATAATTATTGTAAACTTATCTAAGTTTATTCATCTTAGACCTCCTTAATTCCCAAGAGTAATTTGATTTTATATAAAATTGTATAGATATTATATAAAAATATATTTAATAACGTATTTTTCATGAATTGGTTCAGTCATCATGCTTATTGAGTATATGAAAATCACAGATAGAACGAACAATATAATTCCGAAGTTTAGATAATGTATCTTAGACACAATCAAGGGTCTTAGATCTACATCGGAACCGCAGCTTGGATCAGGGTAGGAATATTCTAGTATAAATCGAGTGATTCCAATTGCCAATCCCATAATCATCCCCCAAAAAGCACCCTATTATGCAAATAAAATGTTTTGTTAAAATTGATTTCAACATATTTTGTCGGTTTATAATTAAATGAGAATAATAATTACATTGAGTATTTTTCGTCATATTAATAAAATGATAGTGGAAATTCATAAATCGCTTAAATAAATACCTTCTCATTTACTCTAGGACATAATACCGCCAAAACGTATATAGCGCAAATTGGTGGCGCAAGAAAAGATGTTATACTTTGAATATAATCAAAAAGCCGCGTTCCTTTAGATCCCTGAATAACGGGTATCCAAATTATACTTATAACGACTAATACGATGACAAAAAGCCTAAAATTGTTGTACATAGAAATATATAGTGAATATAAGATTGCAATAAATATAACATTGAAATACCTTATCTGGTTTAAAAAAAAATATTGGGTTGAAGTTATATAAATTAACCTGAAAAATGCAATAACTAAGGCACGAATAACATTGAAACAGTTTTTTACTACTGAGCTAGGTTATTAAAAAAACAAGGACTGCTGACCCAGTCCAGATCTTAAAAATCTAGGCCAGGCCAAGTTTAATAATAAAAAATATACAAACCTAAACTGGGTCAATAAATACTTTTTTTTACAAAACCCGCGGGGCGTAGTGGAAGGAAGGAAAAAATATATTTAAAAATATCAATTAGTCGGGAAATTACATAATGAATCATTTTTACATACATTTACTGCTTAAATTTTAGATTTACCTTTGAACTCAATTCACAAATCACATCTAAGATTATTTAAAATAAAGAAATTTATGAAATATAGGCTACCTCAAATTATCAAAATATTAAAAGTTTGGGTCGGGTGGGGCCTTGAAATAAAGAAGAAAAAAATTGAAAGAATTTAAAATTTTGACATATGTAAGGTTTCTGATAAAAATACTATAAATTCACAATTTATAAACTATTGAAGAATAGTATATAAATTATTTACATATTAGTGTATCCCAGTTATGTGAACCCGAACCCTTTGAAACCCTCATATTTTTGCTGAACCAGAACCCAACTCTAAACCTTTTTAAAAGTTGAGGGCAAGGGTTTCAAGCAGGGTTGGCATGTCGGTCAATTGACTGGTCAACTGACCGGAGGAGTATTTGACCGGTCAAATACGGTCAAATACTCTAAAATATTAATGGCGAATAAATATTTTGATATAATTTACTAGTATGCATTAAAAGCATGTTTATCAATCTTATTAGGTTACAATTATTTAAAAAATTATTTGTATCATGAATTGTTAAAAACAAAAGAATTTTTTTATTGTTAAAATATAAATATATAATTTTTCTAAATATAGTAATATTTTTAGTTATTTTTTTGCCTAATCATTGCCGTTTCTCGCCTTCTTTATTTTTTTCAATTCATTTTTCTTAAAAAAAATAAAAATACCCGATTTATTATAATCATAATATAATTTTTTCATTCTTATTTTTTAATAAATTTAAATTTTATTTAATATTTAGCCGAGTATAAATTATATTAATTCTCATTTGTTTTACTTACACTTGCTATATTTGGTTTTTAAAATTAATTTTCATTTTAATTGTTCTGGTCAGATTTACGGAATATTATTCAATTCTGGTAAAAAGTTATATATATTATATTATATTTATAATATTAAGAAATTATTGGAATAATGGGTCGATAATTATAAAATAGTTAAGATTGATTAACTTTACAATAATCAAAATCATTTTTTGTTAAATTTTAATATATTAGGGATTATGGTCAAACCAAAGCATCATGTTTGGAAACATTTTCAAGAAGTACGCGATGGTAAATCAGTTAAAGCGGTAAGCAAGTTTTGCAAGATGTCCTATATCACCCACGTTGATAGAATGGTCAAACATTTATTAAGCAGCTGTACTATGTGCCCTGTTATAATTAAGGAAAAATTTTATTCAAATTCCAAAATATCAACCTCTACAAAAAATATCACAAATGTAATTTGTAATACTTCTAAGTCTAACTCTAATGAAGAATTGGGTGAAATTAGTGAGAATGATTATCAAATGAACAATATTTTGTCTTGTGACTCAGGAGAATTTGATTCCATTATTTCTAATCAATCTACAAGCAAGGCGATTAAATATAAATCTCAATCTTGTATAACCGGTTTCATAGATAGAATTAATCCCAAAGAAAAAAATGAGCTGGATCAATTGTTTGCAAAGGCTGTATATGCGAGCAATTTACCTTTCCACATCACTGAAAATCCCTACATCCAAGAATTTTTTAAAAAAATACGTCCTATTTACACATTACCCAGGAGAAGGCAGCTGGCTGGATATCTTCTAGACAAAGCGTAGGTGATATGGAGGTGAGAGTTGTAGATATAATAGATAAAGCTCCTTACTTATCAATTGTATCAGATGGCTGGAGCAACATTAGAAACGAGAGTATTATTAATTTTATGGTGATGACGCCTGTTCCAGTGTTCTACAAATTTCTAAATACTGAGGAAAATCGCCATACGGCAGATTATATTGCCCAGGAATTTAAAAATGTAATTCATGAATTGAATCCGGTAAAAGTATATTCTTTAGTTACTGATAATGCCGCTAACATGAAAGCAGCCTGGAGAATTCTAAAATCTGAATCTATTTATTATCATACAATGTTATGGTTGTACAGCGCATACATTGCAGTTATTCTTTCACGATTTTGAACGATTGAACGCCTTCAGTGACCATTTTTCAATAATTAAAAAAATTGTTAAATTTTTCAAGAATAAACACATACCAGCTGCAGTATTTTCCCAATGGCATACCATCTAAATTAAGTACAATTAGCCAAACAAGATGGGCATCTCAATAAAATGTATGGAGCAAATTCAAATATGCAAGAAAGCTCTAAAAGCATCAGTTGTTGAAGAAGCTGTTTGTGATATTTGTCCCATAGAAATTACCAATAATATATTAAACGAAGAATTTTGGACGAAAAATTTAAAATTTTTAGCTATACTCCAACCTTTAGCTACCTCATTGTTGAAAGTGCAAGGGGATAAATGTACTTTGGCCCAAGTAAAAAACGAGATGCTTAATTTGGAAAAACACATAATACAATCATGCCATGATTCTATATTTTCTCCATCTCAAGAAAAAAAAATTAAGGTTATGTTTGAAAAGAGAAAAACTGATCTAAATACATGTGCTCACAATGCTGCTTATTTATTGGACCCCCAATATCAAGGGGAGCATCTTACTAATACTGAATTTGATGAAGCATGTAATATAATACAAGAATTGGGTATTTTACAAGGTGGTGATAATCAAAATATTTTGAGTAACATAGTAAATTTCAGAAGCAAAAGCGGTATATTTAATAGCCATAATATGTGGAAAGTTGTAACTTCCATAAGAAACAATCAAATTTCGGCCTCAAGTTGGTGGAATGCATTTTGCCCACCTTGCCCATTAAGAGAAGTCGCTAATATTTTACTAACATTTCCTAGTTCGACTTCTTCTTCTGAAAGAAATTGGTCGGTTTGGGGCAATATTCACACGAAAAACAGAAATAGATTAAAGGCTTCTACAGAAGGAAAAATAGTAAGAGTGTATCATAATTTAAGATTGATTAAAAATATTAAAGAAAATAATGATATTGAATATGAATCGGAACAAGACTCTGCCACGGAGGGTGAAACATTGACTATAGAATGAATTAAAAAATATTATGATATTTATTATTATACATAGATTTATTATAATATTATATAAATGCAAAATAAAGTTAATATTGGTGTAAAAAACATTTATTTGAATTTGACCATATTTGACCGGTCAAATATCGGTCAATTGACCGAATTGTATTTGACCGGTCAAATGCACAACCCTGGTTTCAAGTAGTGCTGTAAACGTTACCACAAAAAAAACGCGTTACCGTTACTCATTACATCTGAAAAAAGGAACGCTTTACCGTTACTCGTTACCTTTTCAAAAAAGGAACGCGCGTTACCGACTTTTCAAAAAAGTATGGGGCTACTCGTTACTTAAAAAAATTAAATATATACAAAAATTATATATATTTTTTTCTGACAATATATAATAAAATAAAACTATACAAAAAGAATATATAAGATCGTTTTATAAAAAAAATATTTATATATTTAATTATTATATAAATAAAATTATACAAAAATAATATATTATAAGATAACATCTTTATGTAACAATTTTTTATTTATTTTTAGCAACAAATGATTTCAAAATTTTGATCACAAACAAGAGCGCTTACTGCTCAACACAGCTGGTTAAATAATGGGATGTTATATATAGTATTTTAATTAAAATCTATAAAGAAATTCTCTGTAAAATTTTGTTATTAGATAAATCCTGGCTACGCCACTATTTCACACATATATATATTATTTAAACAAAGTTTTTTTAAATCACTATTTTTTATTCATTAAATTTATTAACAATTATAGTCAAACCAATACCAATACTAAAACAAGAAATAGAAGATATAAAAAACTCAATATAATACTTTGAACCAAAACCAATATTTTGTTAATCTTGGGTTTTTAATGTTGGTTCCCAGCCCAATACTAAAGTATAATTTAATTGCTTATATTTAGGGCTGTGCCGATCCACATATTTTTTACCGATCCGATATTTTTATTGATTTTTCACCACCCCTATTTGAACCAAATGTAATTAAGAAATTAATATTTTTTATGCAAAAAATCTAATTATGCATTTAATTTAATTTTTTTTATTACTACAATTAAGACTATAATTTAAAAAATTATTTGATAATATTTCCATTTTAAGTTGGTATGAATTATAAAATTGTATTTAATATATAAAATTATAATATATTAGATTTTTTTAATAAATAAGAGAGCCTCTAGATTTTCCGATAATAAGCTTCTAAGATATGGAGTATCAATATCCCCTGCCTTACTGAAGGTAAACTCAATGATTCCGCAGATAACGCATTTTGCAAATTTATCTTTGTCTTTTGTAAAATAACCATAATTCAGATACCATATTTATAAATATTCTTTTATTTAAAGTATAAATAACAAAATTGGCGTTATTATTTAAAAAGATTTAAGATAATTAAAACTTTGGGTGTTCCTTTCTATTTATAAAAAAAACTTTTAAAATACTATAAATCTATTTTAAAAAAGAATAAAATTTAGAGGGTGTTGTGCATTTGCATTGTTTAAAAAAATATTATTTAGAAATTATTATAATAATGTAAAATAAATATACATAACATAAAATAACAAAAAAAAGAAAAGTAAAAAGATTGGATCGGTTTTTTACAGGTATCGGCCCGATCCGATATTTTTGGAAAGGCTAAATATCGGTGTTGATCTGATCCGATATTTAATATCGATACAGCCCTACTTATATTTTAATTCCATGATTAAGCTTTTCAAAATATTCTGAAAATATTATTTTATTATTAAAGTAATGTTTAAAATAATGATATATTAATTTATTTTTTTACCTTAAAATGATTTTTTAAGTTTGAACTGTTGGACATTGAGGTTGAAATATTTGTTTTGGAATATAATTTACATTTACAAAGTGTAGACTTGATACTATTAATTTTTTTTATTGGTTTAAAATATATTTCAAATTAGGGCCTGGGAAAGGTTAAATCATCTTCATCTGAAAAAGTAAGTACTATGGACATAATATTCTTAAAATAAATTATAAGAATAATAATATCATTATAAACATTTACTTTGAATTTTGATTGAATATTAATTTCGACAGAAAATTTAACAACGAGAATTTAAAATAAAAATGAAGGAAGTGGTTGATATGAATTAAAACTCGGTTTAAATTATTTATAAAGAATTAAAAAATAAAAGTAATTTTATAATTGTTTTTCTATTTGTTGATATTTTTAAGAAAAAATATAAAGTTACGAGTAACGTTTTGCGTTACCGTTACTCAAAAAAAGAAACGCGTTACCGTAACTATTTACCTCTAGAAGGAGGTAACGAATGGCGTTACTTTTTTGACGTTACTTCACAACACTAGTTTCAAGATATCAAAAAAATTTTTTTAAGTATTTTTAAAATAATAAATTTTGTAAAAAAATGAATAAAAAGAGACTCTTTCGTTGAATCATTTTCCATTTTTCAAATTTTTAGTTTTTTGTATCAATAAATTTTATTCTAAATAATAATTTAATACGTTTTGTTTTAATATCAATTTTAGAAAGTAAAATATTAGGACAAAAAATAAAATTAAGAAAGGAGAATAAAATCCAATGTTTTTCTAGATATTCAATTTTTAAATATTTAATTAAAATATAAGAAAAAGTTTGTCAACAAAGACGAGAACCTTCCGTCTAAAAAATGGGTTTGGGTTCAGTGAAAAATCTCTGAACCCGGTTCAGGTTCAGGTGGGTTCAGGATTCGGAGACCAGAAAAATAATGACTTATTAAAATAAAAGAAACATCTTATTTTTTAAAAATTTAATTAGTATCGCTATAAAAATAATTTATCATCATAATAAAATATATTATATATAATATAATATAATACTAAAATACAATTTAAAAAATAATATATTTCTATTTTAAAAATTTTTACGAAAAATGGCCGTATAATATAACAAAAATAATTAAACGTTTTGAAATAAAAAACCATTGTTTTAAATAAGAATTCTTTTTAAATAGGAATTTATAAATAAAATCGTAATCTACCATGTTATTTATATTATATTATTTTTAACATATAATTTAAAATAAATAAAATGAAAGTTTAGAATAAAAAAAATAAAATTTTAAAATTAAAAAAAAAGAAGTTAGAACCTGGAACCCTAAACTTTAAAAAAGGGTTTGGGTTCAGCTGAATATTGAGGGTTCGGGTTCTCGTCCCTGTTTGTCAATAGTTTTGGCATAAATTTTGTTTGGTGAATACTTTTTGGATTAAATAACATAAAAATAAAAATGATTTTAAGATAAATGATTTTTAAATTTTTGCCAGTAAATTATGATATAGAGTAGGTTAAAAAAAATATTATGTTATTTAATTAATATTGAGCAATATTCCTTTGCTCTTCAAACCCTGAACCCGAATCCTTTTGTAAATTTTTAACTCCAACCCATATCCTGTGTTTTTGTAGAAGGGTTCACATCCCTGGTGAATACTTTAAATATAAAATAATATATAAAAATAAATCTATCTCCCAAAAATCCAAAAAACTAATAATCTCAATTTGGCACACAAAATATATTAATATATATTATATACCTTCCTACAATTAATAATTCGGTTTCCGAGGCTCTCTTCCGAATTCTTGTCCATATATCTATAGTAAATATCGTGCTGGCACTATTAAATATTGAAGTTAAAGAGCTCATCAACGCTGCAATCATAACAGATGTCATTAATCCTTTTGCTCCTTATAAATAAATATTAAAATTTATTTTCGAATTTGCCCTAAAAATTTAAGTTCATAATTTATTTTATAATTCCAAAAATAAAACAAAACAAAGGAAATTATAGTATAATTATCCCACCTACATGGATTTCATTGTCATTTTAAACTTGGAATATATATCATTCTAAACTTGAAGAAAATCATTTGAAATCTGCAAAATATCACATTCAAATTTATAAAATATCATTTTGGGCTTATTTTGCATTTAAAATAATATAGGTATACAGTTTATAGAGTTACTTTACAAATTCCAAATGATATATATTTAGACCTCTGCACTACACGCCGAAAACGCTGCCGATTATTAAAATCATGCTAGCCATGCGCCGCCGATTTCCATAATTTATGCATTTTTATTCTAATAATTGGTCAACATCACTGTTGTAAATTAAATTTTTTATTTCAACCAAGATTTTGATAAATTCTTCTTTTACACCCATTTTACATCATAATTATTTTCACATCATTTTAGAAATTTAATCAATCAAAAGTCTAAAATTCTAAAAATTACCAAAATTTTACATATAAACGGAGACCTAATGTTAGAAAGGGTATTTGATTAGGTGAATATGAACATCATTTATGTTTGAGTAATGGTTTACATAATATGGTTACAGTGTAAGGTATCAAATATCTTTTGTTGAATATATTATCATAAGAATGAGAGAAATTATTACTGTTTTAAGATATAAAACTGCAGAGTTTGAATTTGAGTTTGAGACAGATCAAAGAAAATACTTAAGGTCAATCTAATCAGTGGCGTAGCCAGGATTTATCCATGGGGGGGGGGGGGGGTGTAAATTTTTTTGGGGGGCTTTTCCCCCAAACCCTATTTTTAAATTTTGCTAATATTATGTGCTTTATTAGTGTCAAATCACTATTAATGTTGTTAAACGGCTCTTTTTGAGCCGATTTTTTATCCTGAATAATATTAAGCATGACTGAAGATTTTATTTGTAGAAAGAACAAAGGTTTGAACATCTATTAGCAAAATCTCAAGGCTTAGGCAATATTTTTCTGGCTAAAATATTGAGTTAGCCGTTTTTAAAAATCGGCTCAAAACGAGTCGTTTAACAACACTACACTATAGTAGCCAGCATAAATGAAAGAATATTAGTAACAGAATTTTTGCCAAATTTATGGTTAATAAGCGGCTGGAAACATTCTAAAAATTTTATCAATGTTTAATAAATTATAAATTAATCTATCCAGTGTAGAAAGAAGAAAAAAATTTGCCCCCCAAACCTTCCATTTTTATGATCACTCAATATATCTTATTGAGTGTTAAAAATAATAATTTTAATTAAATTTTAGAGAATTTCATTATAGATTTTATTTATTGTTAAAATAATTTGGTATAAATAACATCCCTTATTTATTTTAATGATATAATACAAAAAATAAATTTCAAAATGTTGAAATTTTATACAGATTATTATATTAAAAATTTATTGTATACAACTATATTTAAAAAAATATAATTCAATAAAATATAAGTAATTCTTGTACGGTATTTTAAAAAAATATAATTTAACAATTATAATTAATACAAATGAATCAAAATATAAATAATTCATATTGCAAATGCAATAGTTTTATTAAAATTAGGCAGAGAATCTAAAATGCAATAACACATGAAAAGGGCCTGCAAAGCATTTTTTGGCCTCAAAGTTATCCTATTTTATCAAGATTTTTATACCAAAATACGACATCACAATAATTTATCATGCGATCCTGATAAATCATCAGAATAAAATGAGATTTTCTTAATATCCTCTCGCGTTTCAAGTGTAATCAACAATTCAGACTCTGACAGAAGAAAATAAAAGCTTTTTAAAATAAAATTGTTACTAATAAATCTTTCATTTAATTTAAATAAAAATGTAGAATAAAATATTTATTTTATAAAAATTCTCAATCGTAGATGCATCAATATTTAAGCGATTGGACTGTCTAATAACTACTCTAGGTTTAAAAATTTCAATCCCAAACATATTAGCGATCTCCTTTACTTTCTCGTATGTTTCATGAAATTTTCCACATTATCTCTGATATTTGTTAATATTTCAACATTGCCCTTTGACCTATTCATAACCTCCCTTAAATCCAAATCAATTTTTTGTAGCATTTTGCTAAAATCATATGTATAAATTAATAAAAAATATACACATTAAATTGATATTAAAAATGTGGTTCGTAATAGCCTGCAAAAGATTTTCAGCATCTGCGGAATCCTTTACTTTGCTTGATATGTAGAATTCGAGTGCTGCAAAAATAACTTCATATAATTCGATAAAAAGTCTCACTGATTGTTGTCTTTCAATGAATAGTTGGGCAAAATCTTTTTAGTTTTTTTTGATTATTTGAATCAATATCATAAACGTTCGGTTAAAAGGTTGCCTCTTCTTGGGTGGTGTGAAAAAGTCACAAACCAACGATATTGTTTCTATATTTATAAATATATTAGAATTATAAAATGATATCTATAATACATAATAAAATCCAATAAATTCCAATTAAATTAAAATTAAATTAAAATATTTTTACGTAAACTGTTCCTGATGTCTCGAATTTCGCACGCCTCATATATCATCAAATTTAGGCAATGTGAACCACAGTGAACATATAGAGATGTGCTATAAAGCTCTCTAATTCTTGACTGCACCCCTTTAACGTGACCAATTAAGGGACACTATCATACCCTTCATTAGATTTAAATTTAAATCTAGGTCTTAAATGGATGGTAAAATTTTTTGGCTAACGTCTTTGATTTAGTGTCATGTAAGTCAATAAATTGAACAAAGCGTTCCTTCATTTTGAAATCACCTGATTCCATATCAATAAACCTTACCGCTATGGATAATTGCTCTAGTTACCAACATCGAAGTCTCATCTGCCAAAATATTAAAAAATGGTGATGCTTTCACTTTTGAAGAAATTTCTTTCAATATGAACCTATTTGCATATGTCTATTATTTCATTTTGAATACTTGGACTAAGGTAGGGTAGGTGGCATTTTTAGCAGAGCTTTCAAAAAGCTTTATATAGTTATCATTATTATTACATAAAAGTTTCAACAATTCCTTGAAATTCCCTTCATTATGAGAAATTTATTTATGAATTGAAACCGTTTTGTAAATAAAATTATTCGCAATAAGAAAAAAAAATTAAAAAAAAAGATTTTCTAAGAAAAATTTTTCCGGATATTGGGGGGGGGGTCAACACCCCCCCCACTTGTCTACGCCACTGGATCTAACATCAAATATCCTAGATATTGATAGTAATGATCTCTACCTTTATACTCGTTTCAAATTTGCAATTTCAATGATGATAATAACAATAATGCCACACATACGAGAACGTTAAAATCAAATGCACCAACCAGGTAGCATAGTATTAATTATTATTAAAAGCATATCTGGAGCAAATAAAAATTTATTTAATAACGTTGTAACACAAACTATGAATCAGATCTAGTAGAAGAACTATTAGCTTTTCTTTCAAAATTTTAAGAAACCGTTGAATTTCTATCTTCACAAAAAGGTCTACCTTAATTTTGGAATCACTTATTAGAAGTGAGATTTAAACAAATTTAATAGTAAATGATAATAGCTCAGAAATTATTCCCCTAAAAGATAATAAGCTAAAAAAACTTGCTTTACGATTTCCATGTCATCTGTATGTGATAATATATAGTATGTTCATTTATTTATTTTTTATTTCAAAAAAAACTATGATTTGGCTTCTCTTCTATACCCAAGATTTAAAAATTGAAAATTGTGTAAATATATATAATAGAACAAAATTACACAGCGTCAGAATTTATTATAAAACATCTAACATATAGAGTATAATGATAATAGGGCAGTAAATATAGCAATAATCAAGTGGAAATATTAAATTCAAATTAGACAAAATTAGCAACTAAACATTAAAAAACAAGTATAAATTATGATTCCACTTTAAGTGATTTAGAATAAGAATGCCATATTCTTCTCGGAAAACGGCATTCACAAGATATGTGTTTTAAATTTCTGGAGAGAAAAGAGGGTCGAGCTTCCTAATCTTTCCACGTTAGCTAAAAAATTCTTTGTGTTCCGACAACTAGCATACTTAGAAAAGGTTTTCTCTACCGCTGGTTTGACGCTGAATTCAAGAAGATCATCATTATGTCCGGAAAATTTAAATAAAATTACTTTTATATATGATAATTATAAAAATACAAAATCGATTTTGAATTTATCATGAGTTTTCACTTCAATAAAGTTCTAAAAATGTGCCAAGATATCTGTAATGTAGCCTATATGTTAATTTAATAAAATTTATTAGCAATAAAAAAATATATGTTATAAATAGTTTAGCCGCCTAGATTTTCGATACTCGCACCGGGCCGCCTATTGTTTCGTTGGGGCACATGTCTATATATATTCATTCAAGTTTAAAATAGTACCTTATAAGTTTAACAGATTGCTCTCCAAGGTTAAAGCTATATAACTTTAAGTTTAATTACCCACTGGCATAATTTTTAAAACTAATTGAGGATACGCTATATTCGAACAACCGTGTCTCATTCCACAACGTCTAAAACAATCGTCTGGATCTGCGCAACCAACCATATCTAAATTTAATCATTATTGTTATCGTTGTTTATGAATCCAAGTTAGTGTTTGCAACGGTCCAGTCCGGTCCGGTCTTATCAGACTTTTCGGTCCTAGGGACGGTCCCGTCCAACAACACGGTCCCACGGTCCAGTCCGGTCCGACCGAAGACCGATTTAAGAATATAAAAGTTTACTATAAATTGCTTTATAGTTAATGTGTATGTACATGAACATATAAAATATGATTATTTAATGCCTAACACTTTATAATATCTAATTCATCGTTTACTTTTTATATTCTTCCGTTTCATTAAATTCAATATTCATAGTTTACTTTTTATATTCTCCCGTTTCATTCAATTAAATTCAATTTTCTAAAGCTAATGATAAAATAACTAAAAAACGCAATAGAATGAATCCAAAGATGGTTCAATCTATGATGGCACTTGAATTATGGATAAAAAATGGAATCATTTTTGATTTTTTAGAAAATAATTAAATTATTTTATAACCAAATATATATATCAAAAAAATTAATTAAATATGTAAATCATATTCATATTGATATAATTTATATTAAATTGTTTGTATTTTAATATTCTTTTGATTAAGCCTTTGTGTATAATATAATAAAAATGAATTGATGATATAATTGAAATATTAATAGGGAGTTTAACTATTCATTTTTAATTAATTTAAATGCAGAATAAAACTTTTGTAGCTTTATAGAATTTTTTTTAGGTGGGACCGGACCGCCTGGACCAGACCGGACCGACGGTCCCGTGGTCCGGTCTCATTTGACTTAACGGTCTATCGGTCCGGCCCATTTTAGAAAAAAAAGACCGGACCGGACCGGACCGTTGCAAACACTAATCCAAGTTATTCATTATTTAACTTAAACCTTGTAAACATGTTGTGAATGGATGATTAAATGCAAATTTGTGAAATCAAATGATATCGTTAAGAATTTTGAGAAATATTTAATAAAGAATTTTTATATTATTATTATTAAAATTTAAATTATATTAGGCTCGTCGACTTCAAGGTTTATACTTATTTGTCTACCTCTGATTTAAATATATTCCTATTATTTTAACCTAAGGAGGCGTATGCTCCACAATGAAGCACTCAAATACTCGAATAAAAAAATTCTTTAATTGTGCATTATATAATACCCTGATTACATATTTTAAAATTACCGCGAACAAATTTTTTTTACCCAAATGCATTATTGGTGTAATGTAAATATAATTTTATTATCCTATTCTCGCTGTATTAAATATAAGCAAAAAAAACGATATAAGGTCGGACCTGGATATAAAATTCTTGAAATCATTCCCGGAAAAATGATAAGAAACACAGGTAGAATTTTTAAATATCCCGCTAATATGCAGCCACCTTTTGCATGCGTCAAATTTTTGCTAGCTAAAGTTCTTTGTACGATTACCTAATAAGATAAACGGTTAATCATGGCAATATTTCTTTTACTCCTTTTATTTTATGTCCTTCCTTATTTCCATTATTTATTTTATCTTATTATGTACCTGATCTGAGCACCAATACCAAATAGCAGAAACTGTTAATCCAAATATACTACCAGTCCAGGGCAAATCGCTCTTCAAATCTCTCATGATATTCAGTGAATATTTTGGTGGAATTCCGCAGGTTGAATTACTATATAAAGTTGTTTTAGGGATGGCGTAAAAAAACTTTTCGTACACAGCATTAAAACCGCCTACTTTGATAAAGCCTTTTTCAATAATAAATATTATATTTAGAAGAATAAAAGGGGATATAGTCATTTGTTATCTACTCTATTTAAAAAAAAAATTAAGATTAATGGATAAATTCTATGAATAAAATCTATGTGCAAAACACATGAAAATATTATATATCACCATATTTATAATGATTTTAATTCTGCTTTATCTACATAAATATATATACTTTTGGATATATATTTATCAAAGAATTAATTTTTGCCCAAGCTGTTTTTCAATAAAAAAGACTTGGTTCAAAAAGATAGTTCAAGATGGGCCTTAGGAATTTGTTTGATTTTCCCATTCTGGCTACATGCCTGCTTAAAATATGTCTAACAAATATATACTTAAAATCGAAAGTGTCAGTGCTCCGATTAACATAACTACGGTTTGTAATGTATCGGTATATATCACAGCCGCCAAACCACCTATAATTCATATTAAATATTATTAATTAGTTATAATTAAATGTATTACAAAAACTGTAAGATTCTAGGATCTTATAATTTAAAAAAGAAGGCTCAGTGTTAAATATTTCAATTATTAAATTATGTGTGTAACCTGTAATGGTAAAAAGGGCTGAAACAATCAATAATATAACTACGGCTAAATAGAGGTTCCAATTTAACGCTTGTTCCAAAAATATAGCGCCCGCAAATAAATCTGCCTATATATTATTTTTTTAATATTAAATTAAAGTAAATTTTTTTTAGGTCTTGTTTGTCATTCTTATGATTATACCTACATTTTGTTTCTTATTATTAGGCTTTTATTTTTAAAAAATGGTTTGACACATAATTCGGCATTAAATTGTTTTTAATGTATAATAATGATTGATAATGGAAATGACAATTTATAAAACATACTATTGTTTTTATGTGAAACAGAATTTTTTTAAAAAAATTAGATTACTTACTACTTAGTCTTACCCTCAGAAATGGAATATTTTTAAATAATAAGAATGCGCATAAAACTCTGGGGAGAGAGAATTTACTGGATAGAGATGTTTAAAATTTAAATTTTAACCTATTGAATTCATATAGATCACAGGATTTTAAAGGATTTTTACTAGTTTGAGCATGACCCTCAAAAATGATAAAGCAATTTTAAAAAGAAATCTACTCGTAGAGTTTAAAAATAATTATACTGCATAAATATAAACAATAGGAACCGATATTTTGGTGAAAATATACAGGACCAACGCTATCAAGGATAAAACTAAACGTATTCTTTTCCCGCCAAAACGTTTCTTGATATATTCTGGCATAGTAAATACCTTTAAAAAACGTTTAAAGAGTGTAAATCATTTGTATTTTTTTATATAATATTAGTCATAGGCGTTAAAGGGGGGAAAGGAGAGACTTTACTCCTCCCAAAATTTACCTGAAAAATAATTTGATCAAAATTTAAATTTTTAAAAAATATGCAATATGTTTCTTATATGTAATTATTTTTATTTTTAAATGGTGTCTTAAATTTTGCTTCTTCCGTAACAAAATATCATATAGACGATGCTTGTATTTGAAAGTTTTAAAATTTAATGTAATAATTTTTTTCATGAATATATATTTATACCTCGGATGCTATATATACAGGTACAAACACCCATGCAAGTATCAGAACTACGAATAATGCCTTTAAGATAATAAAATTTATTCAAATTAATATTCATCAGAAATTTTCGACAACTTTTTTTTTATAAAATTTATATCAAAAAGATTGTATAATATTAGTTATATAAGAAAAGAAAATATTTCACAGATTAATTACCATAATTTAATCCAAAAATTTTAATAATATTTATATTATAATTTAGTGGAATAAATATCCTTAATTCAAAGCTTGGGGTCTTGAGCTTGACGTTGACTAGTAAACAATTGTTAATATTACTTCAATATGAGTTATAAAGTATAATTTTATCTGTATTGATTAAATTAGTTAAATGTTCTTATTTGAGAATGAGATCGAATTATATAAAAATATGACAATTATTAGATTACTAACATTGAGTTCAAAAACAGCTGTTCCTAAACCTCCAGCGGCGGCTCCTCCAGCTAATCCGACAAAATGACCACTACCAATATTACTGGAAAAAAGGGATGCTCCAACCTATATATTTAAATTTATTGTAAAAATTGTTATTTCTATTTAAAAATAAATAAATATCTATTTATTTGAATCTTTAAAAAAATATTATGGGAGTTAAAACTATAAATTACAGGTATCCATGAAATTGTTCTACCAGCTAAAAAATAACCACTGACGTTCTTAGATACCTTGAGCGAAGTCTGTAAAATTAAAAATAATTAAAATTATATAAAAATAATGACTTTTTTATCTCTAGTTGTCAAGGCTATTCGCCACAGTATGGGATAGGGTTTAATCTGATTTAAATTATGGACAGTATGCCCCCTCCTCACCAACCCGTGACTTGATTATTCTGATTGTATTAATGCGGAAAATTCTAAAATGATTATTTAATTAGTAATTTTTTTGGTAATTTTATTAATAGAATAATATGTGTAGTAACGTTTTTGCAGGCTCACGACAAACAAAATAGGTGTTATTTAAAATTTAATTTGCCTAGGCTTATATCAACATTTCCCAATTTATTACTAAAATAATAAAGGCAAAAAAGTCTTCTTTTAAAATATTTTATTGTTGTAACATAATAGTTATTTTACACATATGGTGTAATTACAAAATACAATATTAATCCAATTATTAACTAAATTATACAGCGCAGCTAGAATTTCATCTTCCTTGCTTAATATTATCTTCACAATCTAAAGATGCATCAATATCATTTTCTATTCAAATTAAGGATAGTTCAAGGCGCAAATTCAGAATCATGCAGGACTTTAGGTCTTGAGTAATTTAAGCTTTGAAATTCTAGTGAAGAAGCAAAATTGCAAATAAAATTTTTAAAGTAATAGAAATATTAGAAAACACTTCCGCTAGCTTATTATAAATAAGCTTAAAAATTTGTTTAGAAATGTTAATGGTATGAATGAATAATATATGAATTAAGGTTTTTATTTCAATTATCATCTAGTTCACTTTCTAGTAAGTCTGTAAGCAAATTATTTAATTTAATACAATTAATTCGTAAATCACAGTCATATAGAGTCGTTTGACAAATCAATATCGAAAAAAAGCCAAAAGGGTTTATAGATATTTAAATACTTTTATTTACTCAAGATCAATCATGTTTTAATTATAAGTTCATCTGCAACATAACGGCTTTAAGTTTTTTACGTCGAATTTAACTATTGTGGTAAGTATTAAATCTCCAATCTGATCTTTAACTCATCAGCAATTTTTTACTGGGATTAAGGAATCCTTTAAAACCATTCTTCTCCTTATCTACCTAAAAATTAACAATAAGAATAGTTAAGGACCCTTAAAGCTATTACCCTCAAATACAACAAATTCCAAAAACATAACTAGTAACATTTTTCAAAAATAAGTTTTTTTCTGCAGAAATATAGTAGTAATTAGTTATTTTAACAACATTTAATATTTACTTTTCAATATTATAAAAAATTCATTCTTCAGACAGAGAAAACTCTTAAATAATTTAAGGTTTTTGTAAATGGATTTGAAATTCTATATTATATTCTAAAATTTATGTAAATTTTTTTAAAATTTGAATGGTATATAGAAAATTCCATTTTATAAAATTAAGGTTTTCGATTTTTCAGAACTTTTTAACTAGTATTGATTTTAAAAAATATAAACCAATTTTTTTCTAATCATTGAAATCCGGAATATAGTATATAAATTAAATAAAAGTGATATAATTTAAGGTTATAAATTTTTTCCAATATATAAAATAATAAACAATTTTTTTCTGGAATTCTAAAATTTTTATCGCTCTTTTTTAGTAAAAAAATGTTTAAAAAATGACCTTCTAATAATAAATATTATAATACATTTAAAAATGCTATGGAATAGATATAGAAGAGTTATATCACAGAAGCATTTTATTTAAAAAAAAAATTATCTCTTTCAATATAAAATTGATAGAAACAGGTTCCATTCGTGACATATTTGAAGTAATCAATACATAAATATTTTAAAAGGATATTCGAAAAATAATGAACAAATTATATAATTATCTTTTCAAACATAACTAAATTAGATTTTCTCATTTTAAATTATCAGAGTTTAAAATAAACCAACACCTTAACTTCTCCAACATAAGACACATAAGTTTAAATATAGTTAAAGCATAAATGTCAAAAATATTTGATAGTGATATTAAAAATATAAAGCTTTAATGTATCAATATTATACCCAAAATCCTAATCCCAGCACGAATAAGAAGTAAACGATCAATACTATTAAATCTATGTAATTGAGATGTATAATGCCAGCTATGTCATTAGTATCCTCAGACCCTTCTATATTGCTTGATTTTGATTGGAATATTTTTGCCAATGACATCAAAATTTTAGTATTTTTTTCAATTTATTTTTATTATACTTACACATCACCTTATTATTGTTATTTATGTATATATTAAAAATAAATTGTATAATATACTTTAATTTATTCAACTATAACATCTAAAATATGTAAATTTTTTTAATCCTCGTATTTGATGAAATATATAAGACATAAATAATGAGATATGATTTTTGATTAATTATGAAAAGTTTTTTTTAATAGCACATTGACAATTTTCCCATTTTCAAATTATTATAACAGTAGGGCGTGGAATCGGAAACTCAAAACTAGTAAAATTTAAGCAGGACCAGTTTAGACCGCTCTTTAATTCAAATTTTTCAAAACAAAAAAGAGTTATCAGCTGCATTTAGATCGATTTTAATTTAGAAATTAAATAGAATCTAAAAAAGATGTTTAGGATTTGAAAAAGAAAATCGTATTGTGGAAGGTCTTAACTGGTCTAGTTGACCTCAACTAGTAAAGCTAATATACAAAAAATGTTCATATTAAAAGTAATATTTTTTAGATGTCAAATTTCTTATTATAATCTCTGAGCAAGATACACCACACACCATTCATTTGCGGTAGGAGGCGGAGAGCCGTTTAATGACCGTCATTAGCCAAAAATGTATGGTTAAAGCTCTGTTAAAGAATATCCATTATAAAAAGATATACAAAGAAAAGAATATAATCTGCTTAATTTATAATTTTAACCTAACCACGGGTCGGGAATTTATAATTACTTGTTATTTCGTGTTGGTTCGGGTAGGAATATTTCTTTCAGGGGATTGGACCGGAACTATTTTTGTTAAAATATTAGATTTAGTAAGTAATATCAATAAATCATGGTTTACTTTTATACTATTTTATAATTTTAATTTTTTTTAATATTTTGATTTCCCGATCGGGTTGGGAATAGGGAATGAATTTTATATTCAGGCCTAATTTCAGGTTAGCACATGTCGGGAAAAGACTTTTCTTACCCTGTATCTGGTCGCGTTGGGTCGAAAATATTTGTCTTTTGCAGTTGTAGGTCTCCAACTAGTAGTGCGCTACTTTTTTAATAACTTTTTCAAGAGTGCTACTATGATAAATTTTTATATTAACTATAAATACGAAAATTCATTTTTAAAATCATAATTATTAGAAATTTAAATATATACTTTTTATTCGAAATATAAATTAAAAATTTTAAAGTAACTAATTTTAAAAAATTATGTAATAATATTATAAACTATAAAAAGACTAAAATGAAAAGGATAAATTACATAATAATAATAAGTTGAATTGTGTTCCGAGATTCTAAATTTTAAAAATTTAAGTGAGTACTGGGGTAGGATAAAAACGAATTAATCTTAATCTGATATAAATTATTATTAGTTTAGTTACCGGGTTGGGCAGTCTATACGTGTATCTAAGATACATTATACTTCTGTTCATACTTTTTGGCACGTATTTGTGATAATTTTTGAAAAGTATTTTCTCCACATCAATTTAAATACCAAAGATTTAAGTACTTTTTTAATTTTAAATCAAATATATAAGATTAAACTTAAGTATAGAAGTGAGGAATAATCGGCAGAGGCATACTAAAACTTCAATGGTCTATTAAACAAAAGCCACCATCACATCACCAAATATAAATTAAATAAGAGGGATTGAATTGTATGAATAAAAGAAAATGGAAAGAGGTATAGAAGGAAAGCAGGTGAAAGTTAAAATAAGAAAAAATAATAATCATTAAAATAAAAAATAAGATATTGATATTTTTTTTTCTTTGCTTATTTATTTTACCAAACAAAAACTACGGATAAAATAATATAAGTTAGAAGTAGAACAAGAATATAGGAGATGACATAACCATATAATAGGATCATAAAGAATTCGATGAAAAATAAGATAATGTTTGCAAATTAAGTATACACAACTGAAAAATAAGATAATGTTTGCAAATTAAGTATACACAACTGAAAATATTTTGAAGCAAATCAATGTATGATAATATTAAGGCACCGTTTAAACTATGTGGTAATAATAAAAAAAAAAATAATAAGCGAATCTAGTCAGTCTTACTAAGATTTTGTGAAACATCTAAAATAAAATTTTATATAAAAATTAATACATTATTATGCTCTTCAATTAAATGAATAATTTTATCAAATTTTGAAGGCTAACATATTTACAACTGCACTCATGGACGCATAACTAGGATTTTCCTGGGAGAGAACTAATTCTAGGTTTATTTTCTCTATACAAATTTTATTTAAGGGCTCTAGGCCATATTTTTGAAGGCCTTTGGGCGGATAATATTTTAAAAAATAATTTTGGTTCTTTAAAATATAAATATCGTTTTATAAATAATTATTTTACAAAATCTTTAAATTAATACATATTTTTAGTATATTGTTTAATATATATTAATCTTTTAGGGAGATGGGGTGAAGTGTAAGTGAGAGGGACAATTTATTAGCTTAAAATTATATTTATAAAATCCTACAAATTGACAAAAAGGGATGACAGCTATTACATTTATATATTTATTTAGTACTAAGGTGGGTATACATATATACTCTAAGTATAATTGTCCCGATTATTCTGATTTAAGATGATTATTTTTTAAAAAATAACCCAAGTGTATCGAACAATGCTGTAAATGATATAGAATTAGAAATATTACCAAATTTAAAATAATACAAATTCAATATGGATATGTTAAATAATTGACTTTTTTTAGGGCTATGCCGATCCAATACGATATTAATAAAAACCGGTTGATATTTATTTACCATCTATCATTGAACCGATTTCATATTCAAAAATACTTACTAACTTTCACGAATGATTAAGTGTATTTTGTTTTTTTATTCTCCAAAGGTTAATAATCTCATTTAAAATATGGGCGGTTTATAGTTGAATGTAGTGGTGTTTAATGCTCAACCGATTTTTAACAACTAAATTTTATTACCTAAATATCGAAATTACCAATAGATGTCCAAACCTTTCTACCATTTATGGGCAAAATCTTTAAGCCTAGGTATTTTATTTATGACTAAAACTTTAAATTAGATGTTTTTAAAAAGGCTAAACGAGCTGTTTAACAATATTAGGAATGCGTCTCTTTAGATATTTTCTTTTCTTGTTGCAGATATTTTTCTTTTAAAATAATTCTATCTTTTATAAACATTATAAATAAATTGAATTTTGGTGTATTAATTTATATTATGAAATTAATTATAAATAAAAAAAAATTATATATACAATCATAACATAACCCAAAACAGTAAAATATTAACTCAGGTCGGTTTTTTGAAAATATCAGCCCAGATCTTATATTTAATATTGTCATAATTTTTTTAAATTCATTACTATTAACTATCTTCCTAACTAATGAACAATTATAGTTCTGTTAATAATACCTAACCGTTATTGACTTAATCTGGTAAATCAAACATATGAATAACATGTATTTATAGCAGGGCTGTGAACCCTCTTTCTAAAAAAATGGGTTAATGTTCAGTGAAATATTTCTGAAACAGATTTGGGTTCAGGGTTTGTGGTCCAGAAAAATAAAGATTTATAAAAATTTAGTAAAAATAACAGATAAATCAGTTTTTTATAAACTTTATTTTACTATATTTAGGCGAATTATCATAAAGATTTTATCATAATTAAAATACAAACGAATTATCATGCTATCTTACAAAAACGAGATGTCAAACTTAAACTATCGATTTTTTATGTCTACCTTTGATAGTGCATTGCAACTTGCAATTTATAAAGCCTTTTTACTTTGTGATTATGTTCTTTCCTTTGGTCTTACTTTTAATTTTATAATCCATAAACAAAAATAAGTATTCTAATATATTATTATCTAAAAAATCGAGTTTTGGGGGTTTATCAATTAAATATTTAGATGAAATGCAATTTTATTAATTAAATTGAAATATAGTATTAAATGTTGCAGTTTAATTCATTAAATTGAAGTATAGTATTAAATAACGCATTGTATTCATTAAATCGAAATATAGTATTAAAATTTCTCACTCTTTTTGTTTTTTTCTACTCGCATTATGGAATTGCAACAAGTGTTCTATTCCAGATTTTATTAATTGATTATTTAAGCAAAACTTATAAGTTATTTCATCATTAGAGTATATATATCTATTTTAAAAATACTCAGTTAAAAAAAGAGGAAATAATAATAAGTTTGGATAGAAGACATATATATATATATCTAATAATAATCGGAACTAAGAATTATAGCTTTAAATAATAAAGGGAACTAAGAATTATAGTTCTAAATATGTTAAAAATTCAAAACTCGGAAGTGAAATTATTTATATTTTATAACTTTTTTAAAAAAAAAGAAACTTCCAAAAAATTTATATTTGTTAAAAAATAAAATATTAAACAACCAGAAAAAGAACTCCAATATTAATATTAAAAATAAAAAAACAAGCATAAAAGAAATTACATAAAAAAATTTAAAAAAATAAAAAAAGCCCCCCAAAAATATATTATGTTTTAAATAATTTATATGTTTTTTTATATTATATTTTAATATAGTTTTAGATATGTTATTTTAATATATTTTTTAAAATATAATATCTAAAAAAAAGTTATTGAACTCTGAAACCCTAAATTTTAAAAAAGGGTTCAGGTTTGGGTTCAGTAAATATTGAGGGTTCTGGTTCATAGCCCTGATTTATAGTATTTAAATTATTTTTGGATTCATGTTTGCAATATGATTATGATTTATACATTTTGTTGAAAATATTTTGATCTGATATTAATTTATATTCTTACTGTTGTCATATTAAATTGAATTTACACTTTTTTTTATTTTTCATTATTACATTTATTAATGCAAAATCGCTTCATTTGTGCCGAGTTTAAAAAACGGCTAATTCAACATCTTATCCGGAAAAATATTACGCAACCTGAAGATTGATATAGCATGAATCCACAATTATAAAATTATCTAGTGTTAAAGGGGCAATCAAAAATGTTGGAAAAGAAGATATCTGGTAATAAATGTTTTAATAATATCGGTTTATAAAAATGATATGACGATGTTTAGAATACACAGAGGATTTTAAATTTACAAGAATATCCTACCACTTGAGAGGATTCAAAATTCATAGAAACAAAATATTTAAAATAATATATATTTTAATTTTTTATTTATATATAAATATTAAAATATTAGATTGTAAAAAAAATATGCATGAATTTGATATATAAATAATAGAATATATATTTTTAAAAATATTTACATTTTTGAATTTAATTGTCGGTGTTTTGATAGTCATTCTTGAATTTTGTCAAAAATATGTTAGATGTACATAATAAATTATATGAGCTAAATACGCGAATATATTAAATAAATTAATATGAAGGGATCAGTCATATGGTTCAACTGCACCAACCGAAAACAAAAGTTTGATAGCGTGATTATAGGGGAATCATATCAACATATCTTTACTGACATAATCAAAATCGGCGAAATCGTCCTAATTTAAAAATGAATAAAGATAAGTAGAGCTTGGATCAAAATCAATTTTAAAAAAAAAAAAAATTCAAATACAAAATAATCAATTTTTTTTTCTGAGTTATATAAGTTCCTTTATTTGGTCACTACTTTACTTTATTTAGAGCGGAAATTGTGTGTTTTGGTGAGTAGGATTCGTCGTGGTTATCTAGCTCCTCGAAACTATTAAGACTAAGTCGATGGTTCATGGCGTAAATAGCGGAATATAAATTGGGTTGCGTAATTTGAGCAAAATTAGATAAAGAATTCTTTCTTTTACTAATATTGAATGAATAGGGATCGATGTTGTTTTTTGAGAGATCATTATCATTGGCCCACGCTATGGATTTGTACTTGATGCTAGATAAAACAATTTTAAAAGGAAGATAGCATGATACGAATATTAATTATTATAATATATATATTTTTAAAACAATTCAAAGTCACATAAATAACTTTTTTTGTGTATAGGATTCAATTTTTTCCTCCGTTTTGGTGTTAACCTTGTCAGGGGTATCGTGGGTATTATGCGATGGGGTATGATAAAAATCCCAAACCGGGTAAGATTTCCATTCATCTGTATTACAAATATTCAATTTTTGATCAGGAAATTCTGTAAGAAAAGGATGTTTCGTAATTTCGGCACTGTTCCTGGTACGGGTAGCAGAATCTTTAGAAATCAACTATCAAAAATTATAATAAATTAGATTTAAAATTAAAAATTTCAGAGATTAATACAAAATTGATCATCAAAAGAAAACGAAAAATTATCAGTACGGTTCATTTCAAAGATGAATATATAGAACAGTTAAGCAATTTAGTTTTATTTATCTAAACATCAATTGAGCAAAGATATTTAAGGCTTAATAAAATGTCAATGTGATTTAAACCCAAAAAAATTCCAAATTAATAAAGATTATTATAAAACAATTAAAAGCGTAATTTTTATGAAAAAAATTGTGAAATTCCAAAATTTGAATAATTTCTTGGTAATAACATTAAAATAAATTAGTCTATTTCTTAATATTAGTAAAATTTGTATTATTTACTCGTTTAATGAAATCGCTGCTCGATTTAGTTATGGCGGGAAAAGGTGGAAGTTGGTTATAATCGTATTTCCTCATTTTATTCCTCATTTGCAGATGGTCTTCGGCACCGTGAATTGGAAACTTGTAATTACATATTTAGCAATTGTGTACATAAAAATGATTAGCCAAAAAAGATAATATTCCCATAATAATAATATAAACGTTAAGATTAAATATGTTATTTCATTATTTCTAAAAATTATAAATATCTAAAAGGGCTAGCAATTCTTTTATTATAGAGTATTTTAAAGCCGTGGTAAAAAAAAGGAAGGACTAATTGTATCGCAAAATTTGGGAAATATAAATAGTACAGCATTTAACGGGAGTCAAATTGTTACTTCGGGGCTGAAGTGAACTATCTATTCTATTCTTTAAAATTAGATCGTTAAGTTTACAGTTTAAGATTTATGCGATACGATTGAAACTACTAGAGATCCAAATTTTCACCCTGTATCGGGCAGAAATGTAAATAAAATAAATGAATATATAGTTAATAAGTTCTATCTTTTTTTAAACAAAAATAACAATAACTTTGAGAATATAAATTCTGAGGAAATATTTGTAGTGAGGTGCCTAAACATATACATGATAGTATAGAGAGGAATGACAATTATTCTTTATTTGAAAAGGTAAATAACATAATTTTAGATATTTTATATAAATAATTATGGAAATTGTAGATAAAAGTATATAGAAATGGTCTGAAAATCTTATAATTTTCTTAGGGGCGGTTAAAGTTAGATTCTTATAATCCAGAAACGAATCTAATATTAGGTATATATCCAATCTATCCCTAGAAAATACATTGATGATAAAGACAACTCTATTATGTTTGTTTCACCCTATTCTTTTAGATATAAAGATATGAGTAATATCATCAAATTTTGACCTTATTCATTTATATTCGAAAATGTCTGATAGTTTATGCCTCAACCTGCACTGGTGATGCTCAAAAAATAAATTAAATATTTTATTAAACTTATTTTACAATGTATAAAAGGAAAAGCTAATAAAAAGGTATAATCTTCGGGGCTGACATTTTTTTTAAATAACCATTTTTTGTAAATTTTTTTCTATTTTAATTACTTTTGCAAATCTGCATATTTTTGTCATAAAGTTGATTCAAACCCTTATCTTTACTAAAAAATAAGCCACTTAAAAAAACGACAAAAAATCGAGAAGCGTATTCAAAAGAGACTACGTGTTATATAAAATTGGTATCTTTAAAAGTGGGGGATTTGACCTAATTTCGATAGAAAACTGGCATGATTATCAGTGATGCCAAGGTAAATGCGTTAAGTCGAACACTTTTGATTTTAACCCTCGAGATGAGTGGCAACGTGCAGACTGGTAGAAACATGTTTTTAAAAAATCAATATGAAATTAAATTAATAAGATTTTTCAACATGGTTATAAATAACATTTATTATTTTAGGTCATTTAATGTTTGTAAAATTTCATACATTTCCTATATAAAAAAGGTTTTTTTCAAAATAAATAAGAAAATTATAACTTTAAAATACGTAAAAAATATTTATGCTTTTAAAAAAAATATATAATTTTTTTAACAAATTAATCTATCATATAATTGCCATGAATCTTTGAATTTGAAATTAAACCGAATTATTTGATAGCTTATTTTTCGTTTAATTTTAAATGCTCTAGAGATTGTAGACTTATGGCTCATTCGATTTATAAGTTTAAAGAGAATGTTAGTTTCTCCAAGAGAACAAAGTAATAAGTAATGGGATGAGTATGTTACCAACAGTGAAAGTATTTTAGGCTTTTCTACCACTCGGCTTCATATTGGATTGTAATTGTTATAAAAGGAGGCAAAATTGTCAATACAAGTGTTTTGAGTGAAGAATCTCAAGTTTCAAGCTATGTAGGAATTAGTTCCGTTTTATACTTTTTGATTGATTTCATTAATTATTTCCTCCCTTATATATTCATATCTATTAAAAAGACTAAGGATAGAAATTTATTGCTTATTAGTCAACTTGCAACCCACATCTTTGACATTTATAGGATTGAGATATATCCGCTTCTACCCAAATTGCCACTGCATATCTAAATCTTTATCGGCCAGGTAATCTGTTTGTTTGCTTTGATAAGCCTATAATCATTCCAAACCGGTCTCGTCCATAACCATAAACAGACGTTGGTGAATTTCTCTGTGTCGTTCCTCGAAAGTAGATAGTTAAGGGAGTGCGACACAATATCTGCATCCAATCCTTTTGTAAATAGGTTGGGATAATTTATTCTGTTATATTTTCAGACTTGATAGATACCGCGAGATGCGGTAACGAATCTACAGTCGGTTTTGATTAAACTAAAAATGAGATCCTAGTTACTGATATAAGATGATATAAATACGATTGATAAGAGTAGAAGAGCGTAGACCAAGTCCTTAGGATTTTGTAGGAAGGTTAATTTGTAACTAGATATTCTGCCAAAATTTTAGATTAAAAATATCCTCCAATATGGATTTGATTTTAATTTGGTAATTTTGGAAAATTTCTGGAAATAGGAAAAGTTTTTAATCATATTATAGGCTTGATCTGAAAGCAAGAGCTTAATGATATAATTAGAGTAAATAAGTTTAGGATGGGAGAAGAGTTTTGTGTTCCTGAATAAACTTCACATTTTTATTATTTAATTTTAAAAAATTTAGCTTAGGGGAAAAGAAATTCCCCACGTTAGGTTTGGACTTATATTTCTAATGTATTTTTAATAGAAATATCATAAGAATAAATAAAAATCCCGCATTATAATATTTTTTATAACAATATTTTATTAATAAGCTATTTCAATTATTGTGATTTAATTGAATGATGCTTAGAAGTAAATAAAAATCATAAAATTTTTGTTATAAAAAGAATTTTATCTTATATTTTGCTCATAAGATGTTTTGAAATAATTTTATTTACCTTAAATTTTAAAAATGTGTTGAGATACTAATTAAAATGGGAATATTCCCTACATTTTCTCTCATGTAAGTGTATACCACTTTACTTTTTGATGGTAAATCATCAACATTTTTATTAAAAATTGTAAGTTAGATTAACAACATCGATATAATTATCAAATTATATTGAGGTCAACTATTATGATTACTATAAAAAATAGATTTTTCTCTTTTTTTAACCAACCTTTCCAAAGAACATAGCGTATACTAAAATGCCAAGAGACCACCAATCGCATTCATGTCCATAAGCCTGCTCGTTAACGATTTCCGGTGCTACAATAGTTTAAGGGGAAAAATAGATTAAATATTGAAAGCAGTTATAATTAAAATAGATATATTTGTGTTGGTTGAAATTGAAACAATGATATGGGAATATTATATCCCTAAATTGATAATTAATGCATTAAAAATAGGACTAATAAAGGTCAACTGTACGCCATTTTTATTAAGACTAATAATTAAAAGTAAATTCAGAATTATTCAATCAAACATTTGTTTAAACTATATTATTTATAAAACTCTCCTCCCTTTATTTATTTTTAATCAGGAACCCGAACCATTATATATATTAGCTTCAATGTGTTATTTTTCTATCACGTTTGGAATGTCTATCTTATGAATTGTAGACAATTTTACTGTTAACCTTTGAGTCATTTATAATTTATATAAAAAATATATGGAAAATTTAATATAAATTATATTAAGTTTAAATGTTCATGGAAAAATTGTCTAAAATTCATAAGGTAAGTATTCCAAACATGATGGCATACATTCCTGGTAAAATCAGATTTTTATCATTTAAAAAACGCGCTCAAAAAATGATTTAAAGTTTAAAAAAATAACACATTTCCGGAAACATATTGACGCTAACATAAGGTTATGGTCCGGTCACGGTTCAGGGGCAAAAGATTATAAAAATTAAAACTCGGTTAAACAGCCGTTTTAAACTAAAAGGTATCGATTTAATATAAAGGTTCGGTTACGATTAAGAATATTATAAAGGCCCATGTATAATGATTCCATTTGCACTATGTGTTAGTTAATACAGTTATCCAATTAAAAATTTTATAAATAAATAAATTATAAAAAATAAATAAAAATAGATTTTCGCGGAATTATTTTTCGTTTTCTTAATTTTCTCCTCCATTTTGTAGGTGAAATTTTATTATAAATGATAATTAAATATGCTATAAGAATACCTTGCTTATCTTGTTTTTATATTCATTTTTGAAAGTAAAATTTTGGGACAAAAATTTACAATCAATAAAGTAAAATAAAATATAATTTTTATAGCAATTAAAATTTAAAATATGAGCAATTATGTTCATTGAAATGCATATTGGATCTGCGCGGAAATCTTAAAGAGGTATTTTGGATGTTATGATTGTTCGATTGAATAAAACATTTAAAAATAAATATTAATTAATTTTTAGCTGAGTCAATATGCTGTGGGGAGGGGGGGGATAATTAAATTTGCAATAAAAATAATTATAGGAGACATTTAAGAATAACTTAAATTTCATAATTTTATTGACTAGTGTTGTTGAATTACTCGATTTGAACCGATTTTTAAAAACGGCGAACTCAATATTTTATCTAGAAAAATAAAACGCAAGCCTTGAAGATGCTCATAGATGGCACAAAGGTTTAGATATCTATTAGTGAAATCTTAAGGCTTAGGCAATATTTTTGTTACTAAAATCTTGAGTGATTTACAACAGTACTAGTGACTATAAAATATTGACAATTTCTAATACACACAAATATAAATTAATTATAGAATAAATCGGCGTATGAATCATTATAAAATAAATGTCTCAAAAAAGGAAATTATAAAAAAAGGAGAAATTAATTGAATAAATTTAAATTGGAATATATATGCAATAAGATGTAGTAGGCAATAATATTTTTAAAAATATTTTAGCCGGAATCTGGATTTTTTGGCTTTAGGGAAGGATTTGACCCCTGCCACCCCCTCCCCGTTGCGTACACGCCAGGGGGTTAATATCATCTTGCTTACTTGGGCAAGCCACTTTGAATCTTTTGAAACGGTTTCAATCCATAAGGAAAAAAACACATAACTCCCCTTTTTATAAACTCAAACAAAATATTGCCATCACAATAATTCGTTCCAATTATTTTAAAAATTCTTGGCCTAATTCTCTTTTTTAATTTTTTTTTAAATTTTATATATTTGTTCTTTTTTTTTAATATTTTTCATGTTATTTTTAAATAGATATATATGTAAATTTTTATATTTACCGAGAGGACTTTTTTGGTTAGGTTGCTTTTCATATGCTATTATAAAAAAAATGCCCATTGATATTTTAATTTTATGTATAGATATGATTTTTTTAAATTTCCTTTCTCCTATATTGTGATAAATTGGTTTATTTGTGTGTATAATCGGACATATTTTAGCAAAATGGAATCATTAGGATTTGGGAATTTTGATTTCCGAAAAAGACGTCCATATACTATGATATAAAATGTGATATAAACACATCTTGAAATTAATTGATAATAGATCGTCTTGTATTGGTATTATTAAAACTATTTAATCCTATATTTTGTTTCAGGTTTCTTCTTTGAGCACTCACAGTGATGATAAAAGTTAGTCTTAACCTTGCCAATACCTTTCTATACCCATTACTTTTATTTGAGTAGGCATGAGTCTTTATCTGTCTTTTTATTCCCCGTGGACGTAAAAGTGGCTTTGCCTCTTGCTCGCATAGTTAATTGCAACCTGCCTAAAAACTCTGGATGGGCTTCTCTTTTGGGTTACTCCCAATTTAGTAATCTAATTATATGGGATTCGAGAATAGTTTCTATTTATAAGGAGAAAGGATGATTGCGTTTACTATGACGTATTTACCGAGAGCTTTATTCTTTTTGTTCCATACCATATGCATGTATTAAAAAAATAACTCATTAGATTCCGGGCTTGAAGGTTTCTGAAATATGTTATTTCTATTTGATTATCGATATATTTAAATTTAGTTTTTAAAAAGTTGCCAAAATAATATCAATTTAAAAATCATTGAAAATTCTATAGTATATTAATATAAATAGTTTTCTCAAATGTACAGGTATCACTAAAATAATTTAATAGTTAGAAAAGTTGGCAATATTATTAACGAAGTCCATAATTTATACGTGAATCGTATCTGATTCAAATGAATTATCAAGCAGATTCGATATTTGAAAATAATAAAATACGTTCACAATAAGATTTAAAACCTAAATGTGGGATATAATTATAAAAGATATCGAATTTGATTCTCAAATTTGCATTTTATAAAAATAAATGAAAATAAAAACATGCCCATGTATACTAAGGTGCCGCATATAGTTCGAGTCTTCTCGCCTATGGCTAACCATTTAGACAGACCAAAATCGGTGAGTCTTATGTGTCCTATATTAAATAAATAAATATTATTGTCTTTATTTAAATTATACAAACAAATAATTCCAGTTAAATGAGAAATATTCCTTTCATTTCCTAATATTATTATAATTTAAATGTGTAAAATATTTTCTAAAAATATATATAGTATTTTTTTTATCAAATGTTTTTCTTAAATATAAATAATCGAATTCAACAATATTGCATCAAAATACATGCCAGGGAAAGCACTAAACTATTTAACTCGGATGAATTCTTATAAATAAATTAGGTATAACTCAAGATGATTGTGTTAATCTAAGTTATAAACCTTATACAAAATAGTTTAAAGGTCTGGTAAGGGCGAGTTTTACGGATTTTTGTAAATTTAAAATGGGTAGGAGGGTGAAAACAATGTTTTGTCAACTAGTTGGTATAGATTAATGGATGAATGGATATACCCAAAAACATGGGTAATAAGAATAGGTGAAGCTTTTTTTCAAAAAGAATTGCTAGTGGACTAAAACTCACCAAACTTCTAATTTGAGTCCCTGGCATGTGCTATGATGTGTAAATCTTGATAAAAATAATTTACCATTTAGATCCAAGAGCAAATTTTCCAGCTATATATTTTTGGAAATTTTTAGTTGCAATATTATAGGAAGAATATATTTATTGGATTGTCTTAACTAATCTACCTCTGGCTTTTCCAGTTAATATGAATGTGATATTTTTTATCAGGTGCGGGTTGATTTAACAAACCATTTTTAGAATTCCCCCCCCCTCCTCTCTTTGGGATCCCCAGTTTAATTTATTTTTCTTTGAACATGGTGTAAGCTTCATAAAACTACTTTAAAGACTCACTTGGATGAGGATAAAGTTCAAAATGGGAAAAAATATTATAAGAATTTAACATATAAAACGAATATTAAATAATATTTAAAAATCTTAAATAAAAAGAAAATATAAGAATGTAAGTTAAAATTTGATAAATTTTAAATCTAATGGAAGATTTTCTCGACTCCAGCATTATATCTTTTAGATATTTAATCATCATCTTCTAAAAATACTATACTAATATAAATTTGAAAAGTGTAGTTGCTCACCAACTCCAATTCCCCTACTTTAATATGTAAATATAACATTTGCTCAAAATTAAAAAATCCTTGCTCAATTGAAGATAAAAAAATGTGAATATTTTTTTACGAAAGGATCTTCAAAGATATTTTACTCAAAATTTTTGGCTAAAATTCATTTGAAGATTTTGTTAAACCCTGATTACCTGCAGACCCAGACATAAACCCAACTTGGGTAAAAAAAATCTAAAATAACCCAAGCCGCGCCTAAATTATTTTTAAAATAACACAAGCCAAGTCGGGCGAAAATTTTTTTCTATAAATCCGGGCTGGGCCGAATATTTCAAAACTCGATTAATCTTATATAAAGAAAAATATAATATATATTAAAAAAAATGTATCATAGAATGATATATCACATTCATTCAGTTGTCAAATATGTTCGGTATCATTCTTAATGAATGGTGAATCAATTAATGCTAGGTGACATAAAATGTATAATAAATAACTATTGATATGTTGGAGAATCAATGATAAATGATTGCAGGTAGAAAAAATGATTTAGTTTAATAATTTATCAGTCATATAAATTCAACCACATAAATACTAATTCAATAGAAGATGTTCTCCTAAGGATCCGCGACTCGTGTGGTATAAGCACTACATATTCCACGATTAGCAGTGAGCAGTAAGAATGAAATGCTTTTCCCAACGCTGCAAGATATAAAATAATTTATATCTCTCATTAAAAAAATACTAAGTTAGTTGTAAAATTATTTTAAAATTAATCATTAATTATAATAATTTTTATTTTTAGCCTAATCACACAATTTTAATTTCACCCATATATATCCTACCGGAAGGAAAGAGATAGTGCTATTTAAACATTTAAAATATAATAACCAAATCCAACTAATATTACAGGTAATTTTTTATATAGATTACTAGGAAATAACTTACAATATAACCAGCCACATCATTTTAATTTTCCTACACTGTAAATAGTTATTAATTTAAAGAATAATCATTATAATTTGTATTTTTTTAGCCAAACATAAAATATATTTTGCCAAAAATAAACATAAATACTCTTTTTCTTTGGATTATTAAAAGAAAAATAATCGTTATTAAAGAATAGATAATTTAATGGCTTCAAATTAGCTTTAAAAACGAACCGTAAAATGCCGAATTGGTATATTTTTCTCAAGTCAAATTTTTCTTAAAACCCGTACCATAAAATAGATTTTTTATACAACCAGCTAATTTTTTTGTTTTTAAAAAAAAATAAGGGCTGGGCCAAAAAAATGTATTTTACACCCGGATTGAGCTGCACAATTTCTACTTCTGCAGGTCTCTGAAAATATATATTTATATTATTTTATTATACAAAGTTTGAAAGCAGAACACCCGAAACCGCGTCAAATATGAACCGAACCCACTTTTAAAAATTTAAGAACCAGAACCACTTTTAAAAGAATATTCAGAACCGTTGGTCTAAGTTCCAAATTCTGTTATTATATAAAAAATAATTTGAAAATACTTTATTCATTTGCAGTATTGAAAATAAAAATCTTATGCTTTTAAAAGCAGCTATATTTATAAAAAATATTTTGTGTGGACGCGAATCTAAAACTTTCACCTTTCAAAAAAATTACTTATAAACTTAAATATATGAAATAAGTTCCTTCGAAATTTTTTCCTATATAGTATAAAACATAATTATACTGGTGTTGATAATTTATCCCTTGCAGAAGAAGATAATAATTTATTTCTTTGCTTGGCTTTTATTTTCAATGAATAATGTACACGTTCTAATATAAGATAAACATTAAGAAATTCGTTGAATACTTATAATAGTAGATGGAGTTGATAAATAATTTAGTCTAAAAAAGTATGTCTATATAACGAATTTAAACTTCTACCAAGTTCTGGCCAAAGAAATAATTTCTAGGTTATGAGATATAATATTAACATTAAATATAAAATTTAATATGTCTTTTTGAAATAGTTTTCAATCTTATTCATATAGAACGCAAAGACAAAATACACATTATTTAGGATAATTTACTCAAATTTCATGGATATTAAAATAAATTTTAAAATAAAGTGGAATATCTTTATAAACATAATTTTAAATATTAAAATTCTTAAAATTACAATGTAAATATTACACAATTTATTTACAATAATTTGCCAGGGAAGTTTGAGCAACACCCCTTACCCATTCCTTGGGCACCCATGGGTGGGGGGGGGGGGAGTTATAATTTTTTTTTTAAATAATGGTTACCAAACATATTTTAACACATTCATACCAGGCCTAAGAAAAACTAATCGGGTTCTTAATTCGAATTAAGGTTAAAGAACAAGATATCTTTTTTCAAAAATAATAAAAAATTAGTTTTATCACAATAGAATTCAAATTATTATATGTTTACTTTAATATCTCTATAAATGATCCCAGATTCATGTAAATATTCTGCAAATAATAATTAATTTCATTATAATATTTCTAATTTTAACTTATTGCGGATGACAATTCAAATGTATATATTTTTATTAGATATTCTGAAAATTTTCTATATGTAGCCCATAAAGTATGTAATTCACCATTTTCATGAAATTCTGTGACTATATATTAATAAAAAGTTTATAAATAAGCAAAAAAAACTTATAGTTTAACTATTTTTTAAAAAAATGAAAGCCATGTAAATTTTAAAAAAGAAACATGATATACCTAAAACGAATTCGTTATTCGATTCGAAATTACAAATCGAATAAGAATAAGGATATATATTATTCAAGGAATAATTTTAAATATAAATAATATTTGAACAAATTAAAGATTGGATATGAACAAATGAAATTTTGATTGTTTTAAATTGAATTTATTTTATAATAAATATTACCTAGCTAATAAAATATTTGGACAAACTGTCTGGCCCATTAATTATTTTATGAAGGAAAAGGGCATATTATTTAATTCTAAGCTTTAAAAAATATGCAAACTTTAGACCCGGCCAGGCCCTTAAAAATATTTTGCACAAATTGTACATAAACCGAAAATCATTTTGCTAGGCGACAGCTTTGGTCTACGCCGCTCTAATATGCGTAATTATAATTTTAAGTTGATTTTATTGATATTTTAATATAAATTTATAAATATATCGGTTTGCTTCTATTTTCATCTGCTCAATAAATAAAATTCATCTTTTATCTGTAAAGAATACAAAATTTAATAATCAAATTTTTTAAAATTTGTAATGGAAAAATCAAATTGTCAAATCGAATCGAATAAGGGACAAGTTGAATTGAATAATAATTGTATTATTCAATTCTAAATATGAATAACATTTATTCGATAAGATTTTTCGATTTGATTTGTATTTTTGTAGGTGTTATTCAGAAAGTTATATATTTGTCATTTTAATAAGGGTAGTTGAGGAATTTTTCGTTCAATCATGAATAAATTCAATAGGGGAGAAGTGCCATAAATGGCCATGTTTGAAGACTGGCCACCACCCTTTAACTTTTTTTCTATTGGACCGATTTCTCTCAAAATTAGTCAAAATGTGTATATTTATGATATTTACCTTACCTAAGTTCATTTATTGAATAGAGCAATCCAATATAAAAATATTTTATAAAAACTGTTTTTGGTACCTCTTTCTGGAAAAATCACGTTACACATTTTTTTGTTTGGTGAAAAAATTACTAATTTAGATTACTGATATTTTATATAAATATTATCCTTAGGCATTTAGCATTATTACCATAAAAAATAAGACTTTAAAAGTTTTATTTAATAGACATATAGAGGCGCTAGACAGGTGAGTATTGTCTGGCCAGGCATTGACTGGCCAAAATCATACATTCATATAGATCAATAGATTTTTGCAAAGACAATGGAATAATCCTGCTCATCCTACCACCACACTGCTCCCACAAGTTACAACCACTAGATAAATCAGTCTTTGGACCATTTAAAAAATTTTATAATAACAGCATAGACAATTGGATGAGAAACCATGTAGGCAAATCATTTACCATATATGAAATACCATCAATTAATGGAGCTTCCTAAAGCTACAACCCCCAAAAATATTCAGAATGGATTTTTAGCCTGTGGGATATATCCCTTCAACCCTGATATATTCTCTGAAGATAGTTATTTAATATCTAATGATGATGATATGTCAGAATTATCCAATATTCCTCTGGCAGTGGGAAAATTAGCTTATTGTGATCCTGAAAATGATACAGTAAATTCCACTCTTAGCCCTATGCCTACCACTTCTGATAATGAGTTATGCATAACATCATGTCATCAGCACAATAATAATCTGAATTCACAATCTATTCTACCACATTCAATTTTATATAGCAATAATATTATCAAAAAAGACAAGAGGAGAAAGAAATAAGAAATTTTAACCTAATCACCTTATAAAAAACATAAATTAACAAATATTAAAAAAAACAATAAAAGAAAAAATCTAAAGAAAACTAATGATGAGTGGCTTTGCATAATATGCAAGAAGGCATATTCAAAGAGCAAGAAAGGTGAAGAGTGGATTAAATGGCTGAATGGGCCCATACTCATTGTACTAATAACAATGATTTATTTGTTTGTTATGTATATAAATAAAGATACTATAATTGTTTCATTTATAAATTAATAAAATGGCTTTCATTATTGTTGTGTATTAATAATTGCCTAATTAAGTTTATTAAACATCATGAATGATTAAATTATTAAAAATCACTTTAACATGTAGATAGTTAAGATAATAATTTATAAAATTATTAAATAGATAGTGATTAATTTTATATTAAAATAAGAATGTTTAACAAAAAGATAATTAAGATATTAATTTATAAAATATTATCATTAAATAGATGATGATAAATTTAGATGTTAATACTTATAATTAAATTTTTATTGCCTAAAAATTAAGAAATATTAACATGAAGTATTTCTAATTGTAATATTTCATATTTATAATAAAATTCTAAATAATATATTATCTAACTAAGTTTATTAAACATAAATTTATAAATTGATGAATGATTAAATTATTAAATTATTAAAATAGTCTATAACATGTAGATAATTAAGATAATAATTTATAGTCATTAAATAGAGAGTGGTTAATTTTATATTGAAATTAAACTGTTTAACAAAAAGATAATTAAGTTATTAATTTATAAAGTATCATTAAATGGATGATGAAAAATTTAGATGCTTATACTTATTAAATTAGTGTATAATTAAATTTTTATATACCTAAAATGAAAAAATATATAAGATAGGTCTTTTGCAAGTATTTCATATTGTAATATTTCATATTTATAATAAAATTCTTAATTAATATATTATGGCCAGTTAACACATAGTATATGGCCAGTCAATACATAAGAAAAATAACTTTCACATAACCTCATCTAGCTCATAAACAATTATAGATAGAGCTTTAATTCAAATTTTATTTTAAAGATTAATAATTTGACTACACATTAATATTAAATTTGTTTGGTTAAACCCTATTCTTAATACCTTTTTTTCAAAAAAGGTAAAACATGGCCATTCATGACACTTCTCCCCTACTAGATTAATCTGAATAAACAAAACATCTTGTGAATCCTTATCGGCTATTTGAAATAGTCAATATATATAAAAACAATACTTTAGAAAATTGAATCTGAAAACTTTTTTTGGCACAAACATGTCATACTCTGAGTAAGTTGAGACATCTATATGTGATAGTTGGTCTACAGAGATCTGTAATGGCCGAGTTTTTAGCCTGCCCACCAGTACTTTTGGCAGGCGTGATCGCGTCTTTAAGAATATTTCCAACAATATGTAGGTGGTGGGCGGGTTAAAAAGAAATTTTAAGTAATGAGTGAGCAGGGACCCGAACTGTTTTTTTATAACGGTTCAGTTTGGTTATGGTTCAGTATGAAAAAATCAAAATAACTCATTTTTAAATATATTATTTGAACGTATAAGTATTATATTTTCTATTATAAATGGATTCATATTTATTCGTTGTGACGATAACAAAAACTTTAGCCCTGAAAAGTCCCTCTACAGAAACTTGTGTTGCGGGAAGCGCCAGTACTATAAGAGCAAGTTAATTTAATTCTGGATATTTAAATTTTTTCAATTCCCAAAGTATAAAAACGGATGATTTTATATCGGTCCTTCCAATACCTTCAAACGAATCAATAATATTTCTGATATTAAGTTCTTTGCGTACATTTGAAATAGCTTTTTAAAATTCTGACTCAGGGGTTATCAGAAGCTTTACTAATTCATCATCTGATTTATGATGTTTGGAGGAGCTAGTGGAAGATTGTAATCAGGGATAGGAGTGAACCATAACGAACAGTTAAAACATTATAAACCGTATAAATATCTGAACCGTAACCGAACCGATGTAGCTATTTTTTGAAGGAGTAAAAAGAACCTTCATAAAAAAAGTTAAACCGGTTTAAAGCAAAATAAAATAAACAATTCTCATTTTTTTACATTATTTTCCTTGTGGTGTATCGACAATCTTTTAAATTCCTTTTTTCTTTACAAAATATCTAAATAACCAATTAGTAGATTTTTAATTTAGTTGTATTTATTTAATTAATTTAGTATAATATCACCACTACCCATGAGTAGCTTGATAGAAGGGTCATTGTTCCCCTATGAATTTCAAAATTACCAAATTTATAAGGTTTTAATTTTATATCTTATTTTTAAAATTTTGGGATTTGAGTATATTTTAAAGCATTAGTTTTCTTAGAGGAATATTAAATTTTTAAGTAATAATATCCATATGATCTGGCTTTACAAATTGGCAATGTTATCAATTTTAATTTTACAATATTTGTTTGCTCAGATCTCTTTTTTTTATTGTATTTATGTTAATAATATAATATAATATGCAAAAATTTATTTTATTTGCTTTTAGAAATTTAAATGGTCCGTCCAAAAATTAAACTAGTCTGTTCATTTTATGCTTATAAAATTCTAAATGAATCAACCTGTAAGATATGTAATTGCAAAATTATAATTAAATGTAACCTTGCAGCTAATTTACAAAGACATATTCAAAGGCATCATACTAAAGAATTGAATCCTTATCTACAAAAAATTAAAGTTTTCCAAGCCTATTTTGAAATCAATATCGTAGCCTAGCCATAATATTTCTAATGAGCAGGCATTAAATTCTATTATCAAGACTAAAATCAATAAAAACAGTAAATTCTTGCACAGAACTTATTACTGTATATGACCCGCCATTTAGCTTAATGGATGGTTTAGCTTTAATAAAAATTATCAACCATAACATGACTTGGAGATAATTTTTCTATAAATTCAGATAAGCAAATGCTTGCTAATATAAAAAATAAAATCTTCAATAAAATGATTTCTATAAAATTAGATATTTCAACAAGGTATGACAGAGCTATTTATATGTCAATATTTAATATCTGATAGGAAGATACAATTGCGATCAAAAAAAACTTACAGAAAAGTATACCTCGGAAAATATCAAAAAAGTTATTTTGGAAATATTTAAGACATGCAAAATAGATATTAACAAGATATATAGCATAACTACTGATAATGCATC